CAGCTGCTCCATTCCCATGTGTACAACCAGGTTACACCCTCGTCTAACACATAATTTTCACATCTACCGCAAGAATGTTCACCTGATATGGCAACAATTACTAAGATCAAATCAGGTAGCTCCCCCTCTAATTCTTCCTTCCATTATATTACTTTCTGGAAGCCAGGGGGCCACAGTGCACAGAGCTAGCAGTGTACCTGCCATTCCAGAATTCGTCAGGGATGTGTTGCAGGCAAGGAGACTAGGAAGCGGGAGAGTGGTCCTCATGCCTCATTACCTCCCGGTTATTCATGACTTGATTGGCTCGGCAACCACCTCATTGGGTTACGGCATGACCTCTGAGGTCGGTGACTGTCATTGTCTGGCACAATGACTGGCAGTTACGCAAATGAGGGCAAAGGAACATGACCTCAGGGGTCAAGTGAAAAGAGAGCAAGAAAGAGTGATGTTGAAGAAAAGCAATTATGCCTTCTTATTTCTTGTTCAAGAAACTGATTTGATGTTTTATTATGCTTACAAAATTGTGCACGTTCATGGGTTGCAATTATCAACATTTTTTACATATGTGATAGGTCAATGTGTAGCAAACAAACATGAGCAAGATTTGGCCAATTATTCGTTATACATTTAGAGCTGTAATACTCATCAACCAATCACTTCCGACTAGACACCATGATATTTGCTAAGGGAAATTTACAAATTTGGCTGATTTCCTCCAGACAAACTTTCTTGTGAGATACCAAGAAAAGAAACCACATGTCATGGCAAGACAGCAGAGGACTATGGGCAGAGCCTGCAGTTACGCCCCCACAAAAGATCAGCTGCCAATCAGTATGGACAAAAAACTCAGATTGCTACACTAGTAACCTTGATCATCTAATCACAGCAGGGATGCTCAAACAGGGGACAGAAAGAAGTCTGTCAGTTTCACAGGCACCCTGCTGCTGCCATCAGTCCCAAATTGAATTTGTGCAACTGTCATTTCCAATGAATCAGAAATTTAAAAAAGCAAAATGGTAGATGGTTACAGTTTATCCTTTGAGAACGGGAGTGACTTTCATTTCAATAAAACTATACACTTTAGATATGGGCAAATCATTTCTGTAAAAATTGTGTAACAGTTAATGCAGGTCTTTACTTGGCACATTTGACACACATGCACACACACAAACCCCCAAATATGTGCATTTCTCACAAAACAAAAGTGGAATCATCTTTCAATCCATCTTTTTCAGTGACTTGTGTAACTAACATACAAGTGAAAAGAAGCTGAAAATCAAAGTATCCTACATCATGAAAAAACTGAACCTCACCACACATTTCTTGAACGTAAGTCCAACTTCCGTACCATTTCCCTATTCATGTCACAACCATCAGAGACAGATGTTCTCTTAATAATAGGACAATAGTCGACACTAAATTATACGAATTCCTCTCACACACTTTATCTATTCAAAGGCCAATGGCATTTGAAATACTTTTAAGTTTAAACAGTCTTTTTTAACAATTTATCTGTTTAACAGTGGCTGACCACATACAACAGAGTGCTTGGCAAATATTAACAAATCTCTGTTGCAAGCACCAATGAATTAGTATATGCATGGTACCTGTATATGCTTCTTCATTTCTAGAAAAGTTAGGTTCAATGGCCTCATTTTGTCATCGTGAATTATCGTTCTCGTGCAACGTCAAGTATTTGTTCAGTACTCCGAAACATATTCCGTATAAACCGCAGATACACAGAGCCGATCGGCCACGTCATCCGGTCAAAGTACAGAAAAACATATATCCTTGGTACAAATATTATTAGGATCACAAGCAAACAGTTTTTTTTTTCTCCACTAAATCTCCCCGTTTTTATTTGAGAGGTGGGAATGGCTGGAGGAGGAATGTATGTAAATCTGTCGGCACGGCGATCAAGTTTGGTTTTGGGATTGCTGGTATGGCGGGCTTTCCTGGTAATTTATGATGAGTCATTGGGTTAGTGGTTCAGGGCAGTGAGTGTGCCTCAATTGGAATGTCCCTTTGTTTGTGACCCTATTATAACTGGCAAAAATTTGTCTATCTTTTGGTGCCATTTTGGGCAAACAGGTGGATGGTGGCCATCACATGCACAAGGCATCACTTGGACTGTCCGAGGTCATTAGTATTGGCACATAGCATGCTATTGCAAACCTATCAGCCAATATCGGAGATGGTTTGAGCATGGAGCTCCATGGCTTGAGACATGAAAAGGGCCTCAGTTGTATCCAAACAGACTATGTTTGACTTGTTGTTTTCTTCCTAAGTTCCATACAAGTCACTGTGCATGACTGTGTAAGTGCCACTGCAGGTACATGTAGGACAAAATAAAGTGTAACTTAACATATGGATTGTGAGAGATGACAGCACAGAGTTTATTACTATGAAAAATGAAAAAATTCCAATGGCAAAAATAGCACCCAAGACTGAAGGCTTTCCTTCACAAAAGTACATGTACATTATGCTGGGTAGTACGCATCAGGTACGTGTACATGTACTTGCATCACAGTACACAGCCACTGCACTGAACTACAGGTCAAATAAGAGTGAATGTCCTAAGCACCTGTTGGGGCAAAGCCAAGGTGTTGACTGGGGAAAATTCAACTGATGGCAATAATGGGTGCAAAGACCAAGTCAAGCTCCATGGATGGTTGTATAATACTTGCAATATAATGGTCACAGACATAAGACTGCATGGATTTGTTACATGTACAGTGTAAGGGCCCTATTAATTTAAATACTATATGCTCAGTGCTAATGGAAGTACACAGCTGGTGTAGAAATAATTATCTGCTCCAACAACTGTTGTAAATTAATTCTGAGGTGTGAAATATCATCATTGCTTTACTGTGCATCACTCTACAAACCCTGTGTAGGCCTACGGTTTGAAAGTATACTGTGCATAGCAATTTCTATACACTTGTAAGTCGTTAGTTTACTGCAAATTGGGTAATTTTGCCCAAAGAGCAAAGGCCAGTCCATACTTCATGTTTAAGAACAAGAAATGTAGCTGACACTGACAGCAGATGTCACATTGGAAGTGCAAGACCATGGAAATTTGCTTTGCTTTTGCTGTTGCCTGAGGTATAGACAGACTTCCAGTTGTAAAAAAAAATTAAAAATTGTAACTTTGTCCAAACCTACATGTATAAAGTACAAGCACTGTGTTTGATGACTCATTTCAAAGAATCATCACAAATTTTGAGATGGGGAAAAAAAGACCGGGATTTTCACAAAGTACACAAAGAAAGGACAACTCATCACCTCACCTTGCTGCATAACGAAACCACATCCATGAGCAATCCCGGCAAGGAAACCAAGCGTTTCATTTGAAAATGATTACAAAACGCGCTGACCTGATTGTTGCATGACGACTGATGTAGGGTGCGATCGTCTTGTGTGCCAAAGCCGGGCGCGCACAAAAATTCTTCCAAGGGAAAAGGATGAACCATTCAAAACATCTGACAGCTTTGCCTTCACAGTTTATGGCAGACCTATACACCGATTGGGCATGGTGTGACTGATGGAGTAATATGAGGTGCAGGTATATGTACATGTATTTATTCTGCAACACGTAAACAAAAAAGCCAGAATGGTTTCTTAGAATTTGAATTACTTCTCTTTAAGTTCTCCTTTTTATTCTTTTGTTTAAAGCAGAGCTTGATTGAAACATGCTCCACGTTGTTTCAGTGTTCATTTTCTGAGCACAGCCAACAGGAACTTGAATGGATATTAAAAGAGACCCACAAGTCTGACATCATTTCTGCCTCCTCAGCAAAGCAGCTTTTCAATGCATGAAATTGAACAATTTCTGTAACTGCTGTGATACATTATTTGAACAAGTTACTAAAATTTTGCATTATACATTACGTTAAGGACAGTGACATGAAGCGAATGCACAGACCCAAACTACAATGTTTGTTTTATAAATGTTTGACAGTAATTCCTTAATATCTTTCAGAGAACAGAATCAAGCAGTATAGCTCCCAGCCTTCCATTCCTAAGTCCAATTCAACGTCATTATGATCACAGCTATTTACAATCCTTAAGTTCAGATGCAGACTAAGATGAATGAATTGGTGGCAAAGAAAATCTGCCACTTCCTATTTTGAACCCTTTCAAAAATACCCCATTTGATTTCACGGAGTTCATCTTGCACATGTACCCTACAATGCAAACCAGCATCAAACAAATGGAGTCCATCTTTGGAATTACAGCAGTGACAGTGCCAAACCATCACAAATCAAACCTCTTGAGAAGTAAGCTCTCAACTCCCCAAACTTACCCGATAAATATTTTTTTTCCTGTGGGCTGCTTTCACCCAATGTTGTGTTCACTGTGGAAGCACTACTGCTTGTGGTGTATACATGTATATTTGCTGAAAACCCCCAAAAAGCCACTTCAAGAGTAAAGCACGCCTGAAACCATGACCTTTGCAGCAAAGCACATGTCTGCATGTCTGCCGCAGGCGGAACAACTGTGACTCGGCCCATGCTCGGCCAAACGACCACTTTCTGGTCCCAAAGTCTGGCAAAACTTACAGAATTAGGAACTGTGCTGAGCAAACCCACTCCTGTCGTGCACTGGGGAAAGTTTATACAACAGAGCAGCAGGGATCTTCCTGCCTTGGGCAGAGTTCAGGATCAGTGTTAGGCATGCTCTTGCGAGAGAAACTGTAAAGGACACCTGGGCAAACATAGGACAAAGACGTGGGCCTGTGTCTCGGGATAGTCTCAGGACAGTTCAAACTCTCAGGATATAATTGGAAACCAATTTGTATTTGTACATATGCTGTGTTCACGGATGCGCGTATTTACAGCTCCTTTAGGATACAACTCTCCACAGGCTAACAATATGATATACTGTAGTACTCCATTGCTGAACACCATTCCTCACAGAAGGAATAATGTGTTTTTTATAACAAACTGTCCAAATTTCTGCAGATATTTTGAACAAAACAAAAGACATATTTCACTCACCTTATGGAAGCTGATATAGATGTCTACTATTCATGTATCATATCACTTCACTCTGATGTTCAGGCCTGCACAAAAGACGAAAGGTTTCCAATAATTCATACATTTTTCTTAAACACAAAACAGTAAAATAAAAATCCATATATCTTGCAATCGTGCTTGGTGCAAACGTAAGGACAAAAACAAAACTGTGACATCAGATGAAACATTCACAAGAGTTCGTGAAAACTGAACACTGTACTCAAGTGAACTTCGCTGCAAATATTTCGTGATATCAAATTCCCTTTGCCTTTCCATTTGTCAGAAGTAAAATCTGGTCTTCAACCTGGAATACACTGAGCACTTAAATATATTGCAGGGAAAAAATACCTTCATTCTATTCTTATAATGTAACTGGGAAGTTAAAGTTTCAGTAAATGTTTTGTTTTCTTCAGTGATATTCCAAAGGATTGAACTTAATTGACGATAAAACCTAAAATGGTTTCAATAGTTTAAATAAGCCTTAAATAAAAAAGACAGTATATACGGTTAAATATTTCACATCATCATGACAGATGTCATTTCCATAACTGTAAAAGTAGACAAAACTGCAATGGAAGCACAGGGAATAGGCAGACAGCATGACTGGTATTGGTAATTTTCATAAAATCAGTCATGTAACAAGTGTAGGAATTCCACTGGTACCCATAATGTTGTTGAGCCACAGTATGTGTAATTATCAATTGATGATTACCAGCAAGTAAAACTCGGTGTAAATCTACCATCAATGCAAAATCTCTCTGCGATGACTATAATGTGGGTGGAACTGCCCCATCTGTGAAAACAACTCTTATCACTGAATGATGACGCCTGCTCCAAGAAGGCAGGGATGGTATTTTTAACTTTTCTAAATTTAACAACAGTGGGGAAATGGCCTCAGTGATATCGTGGAGCTATCAACATTCTCACAGACACACTGGTGGAACCTTACCAATTGCTAATGGCTAAAACAACAAACAGCACATCATACCCAACAACAGAGATCAGAAGACGCCCAGTTGATGAAATATTCTGCTGCCCCTGACTCCCAGGATGCAGAAGTTTGAAGTAAGTTTCCTGGCTTGCTGGAATGTTTGAAGTACCGTTAAAAGTAAATCACAGATTTTCCTGGGTTTGCAGCAGCTATATCCTGACTTAATCTGAAACATTGGTTCATGGTACAGCCAAATCACAGAGGAAATCCAAACAGCAAAGGGGGAGACATGGTGCAAAAACGTAGGCACACTATCTCAATTAAACCATAAAACAGGTGATAAAGCTCAAGGTATGACTTCCATGGTCTCAGACCTGTCAAAAATATCACACTGGCCACACACATTATTCTCCCATTCACTCCCTTTGTGAACTTGTCCACTGCATGGTCCAACGCTTGACTCAACATGCCAATCAAATCTATGATCCTCCATTCAGCCATTCACAAGTCAGCATGCTAATATGCTAATGACCAAGGTTCCCAGCTGGACTGTGGGGGCGGGGCCTGTGGCCTACATTATTATTTACTGCTAATCCCTCTCATAGACCAACTTCCTGTTTTATTGGCTGTTGTTGTAAGGGGTCCATACAGAAGTTGATACTTTTAGCGACATTCTGAACCCTTTACTCTGCTGTGAATTTTATGTCGTGCTGCACTACTTATGGTGGCATACAATCAATTAACTACACAACAAATCAGAAATAATACTATTCATTAAACTCTTGAAGGGACATTTGTTTCAGTACTGAGCAATCTCACAGATTATTTCAGACAACGCTTTGCAGACTTTTGCTTAAAGGCCTATATCCAAAGAGCAAGGATTAACAGGAAGTCACTCCACCAAAAAATTACTTGTCATTCTTTGCCCGAAACGTTATGCACAAAGGTCCATCCTGCAGAAAACAAAGCCAATAAGATGTCATTACAGAATGAAATAAGGCAACTGCTGGTAGACCAACTGAATTAGTTCATTCTGAAACAAATTAAAACCAGTAATAATTTTAAACCTCAATATCTGACCAAAAATTGAAACTCTAGCTTCTAACTGTCATTATCCACAGAGATCAAATTGTTAAAACTGACATATAAACCAAAACGAACTTGCAGAATTTTACATATTGAAATTCAAAAAAATTGTGTGCACTCAGATAAGACCATCTAATACCTGTAAGTGTAGGCCTATACAGTAACTACACACAGTCCAAAGGGATACCTTAAACAATGAAAGAGTACTGGTGTGGAACATCCAGTACACACATGAGACAATGGAAGTTCCTGCATAAGTTGCGAACTGTGGAGCTGGTCCCTGTATTAATTATCCACTAAGTTCTAGTATGCCATGTGGGTCAACAGAGGTGATGTAACAACTGGTCAACAAAACACACTGTCAACATCAAGCCATGGGGGACTAAGCAAGCTATCTAGCTAGTGAGTAATTGTGTGCACAAGCCAGGAAGGATTATACATCATGTTGACACTACACCAGAGGCTAGTGTTCCATAATACCCTGGGTGTTTACCAACAAGCCTGGGCACATCACCCACAGCTTACTGACCAGAGGAAATTAAAAGATGCAGGACTTGCTGGAGACAATAGACCTGTCTGGTCTGCATTATGGTGTGAGGAATTCTTTCCATTCAAAGGGTGCAGTTTTAAGAGTTAACATAGACAACCGATTGATAAACTAAAATAACAATCACTGCAGTCTCCTTTTACAGCCTTAATGACCCACCATGACCAAAACATTAATCATGAACTAAATATTACCAGACTTCTGAGTTCTTTTCATGACTTGTTCACATGATTCGATGGGATATACATGTACACGTGAAAAGTGTTCAAGTTGGAGGAGGACAAGTCTTCAATCTCAGCAGTGTACATGTACATCTCTCTCTCTATATATATATATATTACCATGGTGTTATAAATAATACATGTACAAAGACAATTTTTTTTAAATATTCGTAGTGGCAGTGGGGGGGGGCAGAGAATGAATGGCCCTGTGTTTGAAGGAGTGTATTTTTTACTACTTGGTTTTGCAATTAGAGATTGGTTTGGAGAGTCAAGGGGTGAAAAAGGCCTGTCCTGTTGCCCAGCATAAAGCCACAAGTGACCACTAAATGAAACAGTTTCAATAAAGGCCTGGTTATAAAGACTTGATCTCAGTTAGGCTGAGGGTGACCAGGAAGTGTTTTACTGCTTAGGGAGTCAAGGACCACTGACCTCTCTGCTTGGTCCCACTGCTCACAATCAGCATCTCAATTCTCATGGGAATGTCATTCTCAGTATTACATGTACAAGTAGCTCTGCAATTCTCGAGTGATTTCTTGTTCTACACATTATTGTTATTATCATTATTACGGTTTATTAAAAATCTGCCCCTTACAGCCCACTAGCTGAATTATGGGACAGATAACATATACAAAATTTAACAAATACATATAGGCTAAAATTCAATAAAAAGTACTTACCACATCAAAACATAAAACAGAGCTATAAATCAAACCAAAAAGGTTCTACATACACATATACATGCAGACACAAAAAAAAAATGCACATTAAAAATTTATCTACGAGAACAAATACATTAATGAGATGGTGGAAACACACTAAGGGAGTTATTTACAAGTCTGTTAAAATATGGAACTGGACTGTTTTTTCTTTAGAAGAGTTTTTTTACATGAAGCGTTCTTGATCTTAGATTCATTGGATGGGAGCTTTTGGATTTGACAAACTATTTATAAAATGTATTTGAGTTTTATGATTTTAAAGCAAAATTTGAACAAAGCGTGATTCTTGTAGTGTACAAAGGTTCCAGGCCCAGAGTGGTTAGTGCTTGATTGTAATGATTATATTTGTTACTTTAAATAATGTGAGAGGGTTTTTTTGGATGGATTCTAATTGATCAGAAAGAGCAAGTGAGATGCCAGAGTGCCATAAGGGTACTGCATTTTCCAAAATGGGTCTAATATAACCCTTGTACACAGTCACTAATTCAATGATAGTAACACCATTCATTTTCAGTTTCTAGGGACCTTTCAACTACATGAGCAATGTGCATATCCCATTTCAAACTGTGCAGAAAGGTGACGCCAAGTAATTTGGCATGCTGAACCTGCTGAGGTGAGACATCTAATATGGAAAACTGAGCAACAGGGGGTTCTAACCCCACCAAAGTAAATTTGCATAACGAGATATTTGGAAGGATTCAAGGACAGTTTGTTATCATACAGCCCAATCACTCAAATTGTTTAAATCATCGTGAATCTTACTAGTAGCAGTAATGTGCTCTTTTTTCACCCAATGGTTAAATCATCCACATCTTCAGCAAAGACCACTGTATGGCTATTTGCAGCAAAACCCCACTGGGTCCCCCCACACCCATCAGATTGGGATGAGGCACTTTGACACCATCAGAATTGTCCATATCAACTCAAACTTAACTCTGGGATTTGACAACACCTTTATTTTCTTTTTTTTTACAGCAAGAATACCACATGGCTCCTACAAGAGGGAAGCATTATCTGGTAATATCAAACTTGTACTGGACCAGACTTGATAAGCTCTACCTGATACAAAAAGACAGCAAAAATTAAACCCACTCATATAAATTAATAGAGCCAATGGCTTATCAACAAGTGTGTGGCCTGACATTTACACTACTCCAGTGTTGATGCAGCTCAGGTGCTACCCAAAAAACTCCTTATTTCAAGGGATCCGATTTCTTGGGATATATAACATGCATACATTTCAATGGCATCCTGGCTAAAAACCCCTTGACATCAAACAGTTTGAAAATCAGGGTTTGAATGCGGCATATGTGACTTTTTGTGCAAGCATCCAGTTTGATTGACATTGTTAGGAGGTATAGGAGGGACCAACGCAACGGATGCTCGCTTGCAAGTAGTACATGTATCTATGACATCAGTGCACATTTGCTGATTAATTATGCAAGATGATGCCTTCTTGACCCCTACGTGTTGACCAATCACAGAACATGTATTATGGGCCACAGCTCATCACAGTAAGCTTGATGATGCAAAGAAAAACATGGAC